TAATTGACATAAGATGAGTGGGTCGAGGCAGTCTATAAATAGAGACAGCCCCTGAACTTCCCAGGGCCATCTGGGATGCTAACCATCTCCATTGTTGTACATCATGACAATGCTTTTCGCAGGCGTTCCCAGTTACCAGTTCGGGAATGCCATGCACAACCATGGAGGCAGAAGGAATGAGCTCTGGCGACTCCCTCGCCATTTGTCTTTCCTTCCACGGCCTGTCTGGCTTAACACGTATGTTACAGGCCCTCCCTATAGAAAGGACTTGAGAAGCCAGTAACACTTTTTCAACATCCTCGGTAGAGCTCAATGTTACCCTCAGTGGGGATGGTTTGCCTTCAGGTGCAGCAGTGCCCCTATACAATCTGCATAGATTTACTGGTTGGATGTCCAAACCCAGTGTGCTACTAAAGATGGACCACTGTTCCTGATCAAATAGGGCCCTATCTTTCAGCAGACTACTGCTACAGTCTGGTACATTAAAGAGGATTACACAATTTGATCTGCTAACCGTGGGCTTGGGCTCGGTCCTCGCACGTTTGTGATCACCTTTAAGACCGTTTTGGTTTGACTGGTGCGACTGGGTATTTTTATGTGTCTCAGTGCTATAGCCAGCATTACTGGTAGACGGTTGGGGTCTTTTTCCAACGACGGAAACCCGTGGTTCTCCAGCCTCTGTGTCTGGAGCGGTTATGGCAAGAGTTACAAGTTTAACCGGTGAGGATTTTGGTATCCCCGGTTTACGCGCGTTTGTACTAACTTCCGGATTGGTGGGGGTCGAGCTTTTCACCTTTTTCCCCGCTACTTCTGTGCCACCTTTAGTTTTCAAAGGACTACGCGAGGCTACATCAGGACGGCAACTCGGGCATATGTACCAGAACCATTGGCATGGGTTTTTACGCATAAAGTCATAATATGCTTTTGGTACCCCACTGTCGCATCTGCAATGCACCCATCGGTTGCAAAAGTTACATTCGAAGGCAGAGTCTGCTTGTTCGACAACAGAAGCACAGACCTTGCAGTCGTCTGTCTTCTTGGGGAGCGTTCTTGTCGTCTTGCGACGTCGTGAACGTTTCTTTTTGGCCTTCCTATTTGTTTCATGGTCTACCATGGGGATGGGTGTTATGAAGTTCTCACTTAGTGCAATTTTCCCACTCGGATCTGTTAACCTAGTCGTGTTAACAGGGGTGGAGCCACATCCACTTGGCTGACTTTGCACAGCTTCACTGTAGGACTGTGGCGACATGGGTAATCTGTACGAGCTGGGAATATTAGCCCTGGTCTTCAGGACCGGTATGCGTGAGTCCATCACCTTCTCCTGTTTGCCTAGTTTGGCTGAAGCCCTGGTAACTACAGAGTATGATGTCCCATTACTTATTTTAGGTTGAGAATCTATTGTCATTTTACTCCTAAATTAATACTGGTGATTAAATAATAAGAGACTGTTATTTTGTCCAATAGACTTACAGCAAAAGACAATAGAGAGCGCAGAAAAGAAGGATAAAGTATGTAAGTAAAAGCTTTAGACTTTACCTGTAACTTTCGGGTTATTCGGTTTCACAGCAATCACGTAACAGACCCACAAGTCCTGTATATTTGAAAGAGTGAGGAGGGTGTTGCTACAGAAGTAGCACCTGAAGCTTTGGCAGTAGTTCGAGACAGCGGGAAGTACCACACACAGGCTCGGTGAGGAAGAAATGGTTGAATAAAAATTCGCCGGATAGGAAGATCAGGTTTCCCAAACGAATAATTCACAAAATTGGATATTTCCGGTTAGGGAGGAAAAGCACGTCTTATCAATGCATTCTTGTAAATCAGCAAATTATCCAACAACTCAGCGAGTGCCTGGGAGTCATCCTGTAATTGATCACCATTACCCTTAACAGCCTCGAATAATTTCCCTACAATCATCGAAGGTCTTCCAAACCTTTGGCGTAGTATGCTCATAACCTCAGCGTATCCCTCATTAGGGGGCATGAGCTTACAGCACTATATAGCTCTTGAAGCATCTCCAGTGCAATACCTCATCAAATACATCAATTTCAATTCATCACTCAATAAAAAACCACTTAGCATGATCTCAAACTCCTTTACAAATTGTAAATAATCAGCCGGGTTTCCATCGAAACACCGTGGTTCAAATTTAGGGAGTTTGATGTTCCTATTATCCCTGAACGGCGAAACAATAACATCAACCATGTCATGCTTAACATCAGACACATCGTTACAAGTAACAGACAAGTCACCATGACTTACTTTCCTGTTTGCATCCAAGACGCTCTGTCCCTTCTTTGACCCAGGCATTGTTTGAACTTGACCCAATTCCAAAAACGCTCCAGATATTGCTTGTTCAAAGAGGACTTGACCGACACCAGGTAAGATGAACGGTGACTATCCAAACTTTCACCAACTGTCTGTATCTGTCAGAAACTGTTTCCACTGTCAGAAACTGTCAGCCACGTCTCGTAAACCGTTAATGCCCAGCTCTTGCTACGCTGGGACTCACGCTGTTCCTTGAAGTTTCTCAGAAACGCTTAGTTATAACGGACGAAAAAACCAAAACACTGATTGGCGACTCGAGGAATCTTTATTTTAACACCAACATATAAACAATGTTACAACTATGGTTTCTGAGGGTATTTGGCCTGACTTCTTTCTGAACAGCGACCGATGAGACGATGACTGGTGTATCGATGTCTCCGCGAAAATTGGGGAATTTGGTTCTGAGCAAACAACCATGAATTAACCGTTCAATCTTCAACTACATTGACAAACATCTTGTGGAAATCTTAAGCGATCATTCGAATGAAACGGTGTAGTGACTCAAGTCAACATGTTGGAATAAAAAATTACAGGCCATATAACCAAGCTGTTGAATTTTGGGTCACATACGAATATCTTCTAGAAGGTCTTCGAAATCGGGATCAGTAGCTCACTACCGTTTCGGATTTGAGAGTGTTTGAGAATAAGAAATGTTGTACGAATTTAACGCGAGTATATTCTACACAGGGAACAATGCACTGAATTGTAAGCTACTCCACTGAGTCTACTGCTATTTGGGATTTCCACCCGTGGTTTAGTGTGAATACGAGCTTTATTGTCACTGCCCCCAGTGGTGATTTAAAGTTTCGGATGTTTGTGACAAACGATGAAGATTATCCGAGTTTTCAGGATGATCCAAACACCCTAAAGAGCTGGCCAGCCATAGATAAGCTGAATTTTAACGAAAACCTTTAACACAGATACATTGCGGCTGAAGTCACCCTAGATTTCAATGGACCATTAGAGCAGACTTAGAGGATACCCAGTGTCAACAGTTCGACTTTCAGGTTTAGACAGTTTGTTTTATGGATTCCAGCAGAAGATGGAGTTGTCTTTTTTAGCGGAATGCGGAGACAGAAGACGATCTCGCGAAGAAGGACAGGGAAAACGCTGGTACTAATAATTTATTCTACACACTTTCACGAAGCAAGATTTTACAATGGATACGTAATTCCATTTGTACCAAATGTGCTAGGCATAATCGTGAAGTTGGACAATGTTTCGCTTTCGCAAAACACTAGCACGTACATTAATAAATAGATTTCACGTCCTGGATCCTGAGGACAGATGTAAAGTTATGGGAGAAAAGTCAAAGCCTAAGGTAAGATGGTGTAATTTTATGCAAAGGCATTGATAGTCATACCAATTATATTCATTAGAACAGGGTAGATGTCTGAGCCTAGCATTTGATTTTATTTCTCTTCAGATGTTTAACATCTGTTTTTGCGGGTCATTCAGAATGAGAAGCCATCGTACAATAGTCCTGTGTCCCGGGAATCGTTGGTCCTTTTTCCTGCCGGTCAGACTTCTGGGCAAGAACCTTGGCACACCTTCACTCAAACTTTTGATGTATCTGTGCACAACACACACACGGTCTCACCTGGAATCTGAAGCCGTCGTTGAATCTTTATTCCTGAGGTGATTTGCCTCTTTTTAAAAAAAATCTCAAGGGGAGAGAAAATACTCGTCACTAGCAAAATCTCTGCCAACTGGCTTCAGAGACTAAATCGATAAATTGTCAGCTACTGTAGGATCAAAGGCGTCTTTATGGCAGGCGACTCAATTCTGAACAATTAAGGTCACACAAATAGAAATACACCATGTATCCAAAGATGTTTGTTAATAAAACGGCAATAACAAAAGTGAAACCCAGCTCTTTACAGTATATAATACTTTCTAGTGAAATCCAACCTCAATTAATGTGGTCACTCTCCATCAGTAGCCCGCCACAAAGGAAGGGAAGACCACTAATCACAGTCCAATGGCTTGCGCGTCTATACAGGAGCAGCCGTCAGTAGGTCGGGAACGCTAGACAGTACAGTTATCCCATTGGAACACATAAACTTCTGTGTATTTAAGACTATCTTTTGTTTTCCCCTTTTTACGGTGTTAAATATGGGAACAGTGACTGGACTACTGGTAAGTTACCGTTTTGCGTATTACTACTTAGATAACTCCAGCCAGAAACGGATGGTAAACAAAGTTAGAACAGCAACTTGACCGTGCAAAATACGAAGTTCCTGTCTTGAACGGTGTTTTAAAGGCGGGGTTGGGGTTTAACTAGATAGATCTTAGGCAGGTACAATTAAACGTGACATGATCGCACATGATGAGTAGTTTGTGTGTGTTTTTGTCATCAATGGAAACACAAACAAACTCTCAATCAGGAACAACTGTTAGTAATTCAACAAACTGCTGGATTGCGTAGGAGCTCAACTACATACAACTAGTCTAATCAGTAAAGGTTAATACCAAGTGCTGGTTGATGATAAAGGCTGCACGCTAATAAGTTTAAGGAATTATGTACTGTCACATCACGTAATTAAGAAAAGAAATATTAAATCTCAATGAGTCTACTCGTGTTTTGTAAAGGAATTAAAAGAGAAATTTATGCGATTGCACTGAAATATTTTCTGAAATCATATTTTTTCAGCCTACTTATTTGTTTGTATTACCTTCTGAGATACTTGACCTTGCTTGAAACGCGCAGCCTGATACAAAATCATGGTAACAAAATGGAATTTGCTGGCAGTCTAGAAAGTTTCATCAGGCACGAGATAACAGTTATCGATGGGAAGGACTCGCCTAATAAACTGTATTTTGGGAGGAATGAGTAAGACAGGCTGATTAGATAATCGAAACTATGTTAAAGATCGGAGTGCCTGTCAAAGATATCGTTACACTTCTTGACATATTAGGAAAACTTTCTGCAAAAGTAAAGCCAAGTTGAAATTTATATTTAAAGGCTCAAAGGCTGCCTGGACCCGTGACTTCCTACCAAAAGTTCCGTACCTCAAATCATAAGATATTCCTACTATCCAATATTCCTAAAAAGATGTGCGTTTAATTCATCGTTAATTCTGGTAAAAGTGTTTTAGGTTTCCTTAAGATTGGAAAGAAAAAGCTTTTTGTACATGACAAGAAAGGGGCGTGTTTTGAGTGCATGCCTTTATGCGTTTTGGATTTTTACATACACGAATCACATCAACGACAAGGATGTGGCAAAAAGCTGTTCGACTTTATGTTGCAGGTAATTATTTGAGTTAGTAATTTTTTATGGCGAAACTATTGCTTTTGAGACTTGTATAAGATATTTGGGTGCTTATCACCTAATTGACCACTTACCCAGCTTGCATCAAGTTTAGGTGCACTAGCGAAGTTTTGACAACTTCGGGCAAGTACATCCCATATAGGCATGTTCGGCCAACGGTTTTTGATATTTCCCCTTATATTTCTCCAATATACCCAACATCTTTGCAAGCCGAGTAAGACCATTGGAATATAGTTTTTTTATTAGCAATTAATAAGTCTTCTCAAGACTCACAACTTTCAAAAACTGTTTTCATATTGCATACACAGGTATACATAAAAATATGCAACTCATAAAACCCCTGAATTTTTGTGTAGGGTGCTGTACTCCTTGTTACTCCGTCCGAGTATATTGAGATTGAGATTTATTTGTTGAGGATAGAAGGGTTGGAGGCTGTTAATCCTGAAGAATATGTGAGTCCCCCTTAAGACAATGACTGGCTGCTTGGATACAGTTTTCCAGTCTTGACTTCACCAGAGATGTATATGAGGAAGTAAAGATATCTCTGGTGATTTTAGTGAAGGCTCCACGAATTACTCATAAGGATTTGAAACTACGTGCAACCACCGCGCAACAGTGTGCTGTAGTTTCGAGTTGGTCCTAACCCTCTGCCTCCTATCTATAAGCAATTCCCTAGTCCAGTTTAGTAAGCTGCCTTTGATACCAAGACTTTCCAACGTCATGAGTAGTCTCTTGTGAGAAACTTTATCGAAGGCTTTGCTGAAGTCTCTGAAGACGACGTCAATGGGTCTTCTGTTGTCCCCTAATTTGACCCAGCTTTCTCTTGTAGTGAGGTTTGACAGGCATGAGAGGTTTCCTCGGAGGCCATGCTGCGCTGTAGATAGGTTGTTGTTTTCTAGATATGCCATGATAAATTTCTTGGTGATTTCTTCCAGTGTTTTGATTAAAGCGCTGGTGAGACTAATAGGCCTTTAGTTTGAAGGGCTTTGTCTTGATCCTCCTTTGTGGATGCGGGTTACTATGGCGTCTTTCCAGTCACGCAGTAACACTACATTTAGGAGAGATAGCTTGAAGAAAGTGGTCAATGGGCCGGCTATGTGAGGTGATAGCTCCTTGAGAAGCCTTGGATGAAGACTATCAGGGCCTATTGATTTCCCTGCATCTAGTTTCATTAGGCAGTTGAGCACGATGTTTTGGTCGACGTCAACGGAATCTATCCCGTATTCCTCTAATGCAGCCAGAGGCGGTCCTTTAGGGAGTGGTGACTCCTGTGTGAAGACTTGGGAGAAGTAGTCTTGATCTTCTTCGGTTATGTCATCGTCAATAGTCAGGTTCGGCACACCAGTATATATTTCATTTCTGAAGTTCATGTACGAGAAAACTTTTTTAGGTTGTGCCTTTGCATCTTGAGCCAGATGTGTTTCGAACTTAATCGTTGGTTGATGGATTTCTGCAATAGCTTTATTCCTAGAAGTGTTATGTAATCTCCTGGTCTCAGGAGTCTCAAGTGTGGCAGACAGGTTCCAACATTTGTGTTTACGTTTGAGTAACGTACTCGGCAATGCTTCTGACCTTTTGGGACAGACCAAGGGATAAAAGGTTCAGCTACGTGTGCATAAAGTCGTTTAAAATGGTCCCATATGGCTCCTACTTGTGTCTCTGGGTTTATGTACCAGTTCACTGAGTTGGCTGCTGAGACGATCGCATTCATGTCAGCTTTCCAAACGTTTGGTCGAGCTGGGGTTTTGGCCCTTGTTGCTGTTGCTGTGAACTTGAAAGTGAGCACAGCATGATCATGAGATCCACATCCTCACCGTGGGAGAACTCTAGGTCCAGAGTTGAGGGGAGTGCTGTGAGTCATAGCGCGTGGGCTTAATGACATGTTGGACTTGGCCTAGCGATATACTAGATTCCAGCAGTTTATGATCAAAGGAGTTGACTGAATATGGAGTTGCAAGGCTCGTCCAGTCAACTGTTGGAGAGTTGAAGTCACCGACTACGAGACTTGGACATTCCGAAGTCTAGGAGCTTAGCCTCTCTATCAGGAAGTCATCTGCACTGCAGTCAGGACTGTGGTATATAGAAGTGAGGTCAATGTCTTGGCCTATTCATTTAAGTCTGCAACGTAGAAGTTCTCACGAATCACTTTCGTAAGCGAGTGCTTCGATGCTACACACGGTTAAGTATTTCTTGGAGTAGGTGATTACGCCACCTCCTTTGCGGTTTAGTCGGTCCACCCTATGCACTTCGAAGTTTGGCAGGTTAAATTCGTTGTAAGTGACATCGGGTGTGAGCCATGTCTCTGTGATGATAATTACATCCAGGTTTCCAGAGTCTATCATGTTAACCATTTCAGTCTGTTTGTTCAAAAGGCTGCTGGTGTTTGTGTAGCAAATTGTCAATTCAGTTTGGTGCTTCCCCGACCTACCCACAGAGGTTTCGCGATCATTAAACTGCGAATCCGGACAACCCGGAAACCCTTAGTCTTAGGGGTTCTTTTCGCCGTTTCGGCGTCGTTTGTTTAATTCTAGGACCGCAGACTGTCTTTTAACACGGTGTGCTAGGCTTAAGTCGGCATGGACATATATGCCTGACCCTTTAAGAATTTGAGAGTTGCTTAGAATAGCATCCCTCTCTTCTTGGGAGTTTAGTAAGACTTTGAGAATACGTACAGGCTGATTTACTATGGGGTCAGGCTTTGGCCGATTCTATATATATATATATATATATATATATATATATATATATAAGGCTGGAAAAAACCTAGCGGCGGTCAAACAAAAACTTGGCATCAGTCAATGAAATCCACAACAGTTGGTCTAAGCCACGTAGAAAGGTGTAGACTTCCAGGCTGGGGTCCTCGGGACGGTAAAAATCTATGGTTGGAAACAATTGGTGACATGGCTCAAAATCGTTCTCAGTGGCTAGCGCAGATGCATCCACTCCCTGTGACTAATAATCTTCAATGAAACTGTTTTGTATTTCTTTATTACTCCTTTGTCTCACACCTCTGCTCACTGTTTCTATTATGCTTTTCTTGTACTTTCTTCTCTTGCTTCGCGTGCTACACGGAATGTGGCGACTTGAACTTCCGCACATTTGTGCAAAGTTCTATGTCGAAAACAGACAGACAGATATACGCTGTGTATAGTAATGCCTGATACTGTTTTTTGGCAACAGCTTATCTAGAAGGGGCTTGACCAAGCTAAGGTCATGCTCGAATCTGGCCTTGGGATCGGAGGCCAGTGACTCTTCCACTTTGTGGAGAATGAGCGACCTGTCAGAGAGATCAGGTTTGCTTGCCGTAGCTTTCTTGCTCTGTGGCGTAAATATCTTTTTGTCTTTCGTGGGTAGTGTGTCCGATGTGTTGTCGTTATCTCGCTTTTTGCGAGAGACAACATTACGCCATTCATTGGCGCCCTCCTCGCTAATCGTAGTAGGTTTTATCTGCCTGCTATTCACCAGTGAGGATGAGGCTTGATCTATCAGTTCCTGGGCGACTAGAGCTGCAGGTTTTCGACCCCTGGTACGCCTCTTCTTCGTGGCAGTCTTTCCGTTACTGTCACTGTAGGGCTTATCCGGTATCATGAGGACAGCCTGGGTGTCTGCAATATGGTGGATGGTCTTCTGTGCTGTAGGGCACTCACTTATTGGCAAGGTCGCATCGGGAACATGTCCTGTTTTGTTGATGACGCTAGTCACGTCATCGTTGTCTGAGCAATAGTCGGTCTTCTCCTGTGGTGGGAGACCCTTGCAGTCCATGAGCTTTAGAGCCTCACTGAGAGTGGCAATGCCTTCTGTTATACGAAATTTAGTCGTACTACAACTGTCATTGCACAACCAGTTCGCCAGAGATTTTCAGCAGCGTTTGGCTGCATGCTGCAGGAGTTAGGTTTGTGCACATGCTATGAAACCGTCTCTTGCAGTTATCACACTGCATTCCCTCATCCACTGGAAATTCGCACATAACTCTTGCGCAGCGGTTCCTTTTGAACGGCATGCTTTTAGAGCTAATTGCGGAAAAAAACAATTTAAATATGACTTTATATGTATATAACCTTTATAAATCCTATAATTTAATAGGCTCAAAACTAAAACGTAAACTAAATTTGATCAGAATAAACTGATTTAAAGTTAATCTATAGATATTTAGTGCATTGAAGTTTCTGTAGCGGTTTGGTTGAGGTTTGGGGTTGGAGTTGCTAGCACCACGGCCAAACCCTCCCTCTATATCAGGGATTGGGACCGGCTAGAAAACTAGCAAGCTAGTAATCTAGGCGAGGTTAGGAAACTACTCGAGTACTATGGCGTACCCCAAATATTCATCAGCCTTATTCAACAGCTGTACGACAACGGCACATGTCAAGTGATCCACAACGGAAAACTCAGAGAGACGTTTGGAGTAAACCCAGAAGTCAGACAAGGGTGCTTATTATCACCAATGGTATTCCTAATTGTGGTGGACTGGATTATGCGTTAGACAGTGGGAAACGAGGAGACAGGGATATCCTGGACCGACGTTAAGAACCTAGAAGACCTGGATTTCGCGCGTGGATGATTTATGTTTGGTGTCATACACAATCGAAGACTTACAAGCGAAAACCGACCGACAAACTGGTCGAAGAAGCAGCCGGCGAAGACAGGACTCCAAGTGAACATAGACAAGACGGAGGTGATGAAAATAACCAACCAACAAACCACAACAACAACAACATCCAGCGCCAATCACTATCAACGGGAGGGATTTGAAAGAGGTTACTTCATTCATCACTTATCTAGGGAGCGTTGTCTCAGCTACAGGAAGCTGGAACGGACGAGGATGTCAAATCGAGCGAGAATCGGGAAGGCGAGAAACACATTCATCAACCTGAAACCAATCTGGAAATCTTCGTCACTCAACTCAGCATCAACAACAAAATTCGGTCGGATTTTCAATACAAACAACGTCAAGTCAGTCACTTTTTCTATACGGATCAGAAACTTGGCGGGCGGGTGGGTCACAAAGAATATTTCCAACAGCCTGTTGCACACCTTTATCAACAACTGTCTTCGCTTTATACTGAAAATCAGATGGCCGGGTCGGAAAGGATCACCAACAAGAAACTATGGCTAGGAACAAACAAAACAAGAACCAATCGCCAACCAACAAATATGCAGGAGAAAGTGGAGATGGATGGATCGGACACTCGCTGAGGAGGCCGGTTGGTGACATGACGCGCGCGTCAGGCCATTGCTCGAGTGGAACCTGAAAGGGAAGCGGCGAGTGGGTCGTCGGTGCAAGGGTGACATGGAGGAGATCGTGTGAAGAGGAGTTGAAACAGTATGAACGGACTAACATGGATCCAGGTGAAAAGTACAGTAGAAGATAGAAGCAAGTGGAGACGTGCAGTTGAAGCCGTATGTTCCACTAGGAACCAAAGGGAACAATAAAAATAATAATATAGACATTTGAAGCGTATAACACAACAAAAGTCAAAAGTAAATAAGAGCGTGTAAAATTCACTCCCTTTTTTCAAAGTACGATCGGACTGAAACATTGACGAAGTTGTCACTAGTTGTTCGAAGTATTTTGTTCTAGCTGAGCAGCACTCGTAGTTGACTTAAACAGTTCTTAAATTCTTATATTTTGTGACAATGAGGTTTGAACGAGTTGAAAAAGGAATTTCACCAGGGAAATTTCTAAAATACACATTTCAGTGCATTTATTATTCAACATTTTTTTTGGTAACAATGAACAAGAATCCAAAATTTAAGTTACTTATTTAATTTTGGAGTTATTCAGCGTACATACTTGTTCTCAGATGAATGGCAGTTGTGTTTCTCTAGATGAACAAACTTTAATCTAATTCCCTAGTGCGATTTGGTTTTTTTTTGTTTAAAGACTCCTGTCTCCTAATAAAAACTATGATTGACAATATATTTACCATAAGGAAAGCTATTCACGTAATTAAGCATATTTTTTTAAAAGGTCTCGGAGTTCAACGAGGCATTCCGGTTACAATATGTAGACAAAATCGGAACAGAGGTATTTAATGGATGAAGAGAGAGTTCATTTTATTTCACAGCTTTTCTTCATCTGCTAAAAGTTTCATAATTTATCATTAATTTAGTATAAATACGTAATATTATCATTTTTATTCCCCATATGGCTTCAACAGCATACCAGTTCATTTAGTCCTCTGGAATCTCTTTTAGCTGGCTCCACGATTGCCCATAAACTCTCCTCCCCTCCATTCATCATCTGTCTGTCTGTATGTTTTCGACATAGAACTTTGCACATATGTGCGGCAGTTCAAGTCGCCACACTCCCTCCTTGTAGCACACAATGCTAGGGAGGAAAGTAGAAGAAATGCATAATAGAGGCAATAAACAGAGGTGTGAGACAAAGGAATAGCAGTAATTAAGAACAATACAGTTTCATTGGAAATCATAAGTCACAAGGAGTGGATGCATCTGCACCGGCCATTGAGAACGATTTTGAGCCACGTCACCAATAGTTTCCAACCATTGGTTTTTACCGTCCCGAGGACCTCAACCAGGAAGTGTACACCTTCTTACGTGACTTAAACTAACTTTCGTAGATTTCATTGACTGGTGCCATGTTTTGGTTTGACCACCGCTAGCTCTTTTCCAGCCTGACCATATGTCAGCTAACATTGCTCGTCGAGGAAGGTGATGACTAGGCATACGTAATAACACATGTCCTAACCATCTCAGTCGATGTAATTTCACAACCTAGTCGATTGATTTCACCTGTTTACCTAGAACTCGACGCCTAACCTCCATATTGCTCACCTTATTATACCACTTCACACGGGAAATAGAACGCAAGCACCTATGTTCAAAGACAACTACTCTTTTCATGTCTTCCACTCTCAATGGACAGTAGTAGTGCCTTCAAGGTTATCTATCGCATTCCGTTGAGCCTTTCGAACGGAATTCGAACCTGCCTTTTAAACATAGCCGAAGCTATGGGAATCTATTCGAGAGAACAATCTTAGTCTTTGCATACAACAAAAGAAGTTTGTTCTACCTTTGTCTATCCCCTTGGCCTACGTGAATTCTATTCAAAACCCTTCCACCCTTTCTTATTTTTCATCTCCTTCGTATTTTTATGATATTTATTTAAACTCTGATTATCTGTCCACTTCACTTACCTTTAGTATTACGTAACTTTTAAGATTTGACCTAATTTATTTATTTATTTATTGAATTGTCTACATATACACATATGACTACCTTTGTTATTCTTATCTCCACCTGACAGTAGATCGTACCACACAGTTCTATCTGACCTACAGCGCAAACCAGTCCATTATGACATCTCTGCGTTGTCTCTTTGAGAAATACACGACATTTGGTTGAATGCCGATTATAAAGTGTTCAGGAGTACACTTTGTGAACCAAGGAAATTCCACAGAAACGGTCATCTCATGTATTGAGATAGGTTGCCATGTATAGTGGAAACTTGCGAATCAGCAGGTTTTAAATGTTTCACATAGTTGCCAGAGCATACAACACTACTAGACATCCAATATCCAATATCGTTTTCACGAGCTAGTATAAACCAATTTGTTTTCTTTGTGCTCGCTTTTTGATTGTAAGGTATAGGTTCCTGATCTTCGGTAAACTTCTGCGTAGCTCGTCCCACCACTCAACTGTCGTAGCTTTGGTTGTCTCCAAAGGGAGTAGTGCTGGGATTAATTATATGTGGTTTGTAGTATGCTACTGTGAATGGAGTTGATCCTTTCAGAAGTTAGTCCCCCGGTATCGTCGACAAGAGAAAAGAGATAATAATAATAATAGATATAATTAGTGAAGTTATTCGGACTAACAGACAGAAAAAGAAATAAGAAAACGTAACAATAATCAGCTGATTAAATTTGAAGAATCATATGAATAATATATCTATATATATGATATTTATCCATATAATATGTGTGTTTGTTTGACAGTCTGTTATATTTTACTATGTATACATGGATCGATATTCCATTATAATTAGCCAATCATGTTAAGACTGTCTATTGGTTTGTTCATTTTGAATATTCGCTCACACACTTGTTTGGACATTCTTATATTTTTGCTCTCACACGCTTGTGTGATTTTGATTCTCCTTGTGTTTGGAAAATAGAAGTATCATCGCAAACCTAGTGGTCTTCTGATTTCCGTCTTTCTTGCGTCAGGACTATTAAATTCTCAACCAGTACATAACGATATATATATATATATATATATATATATATCGGTAATAATGATAATAATAAGTGTAGTTAAAGTTGTCAGGAGAGTAAGACGGGAGGAAATGTAAAGAAGTAAAACGACAAGTTTAATTGTCTACCCCTGAATGGTGTATGGATTTTAAGGAGATAGGCCATTTGGATGCAGTCCTTATGTCGCTGCTTGGTTGTCCAGCCTTCGCTTAAAGGCGTCCAAAGACGGTGCCATAGTTACATCTGTCGGTAAGGAATTCCAGGGACGACAAACCCTTAGTGAAAAGAAGTGGGAGCGCACCCGGGTCCTTGTCCTCTGGTGAGCTATCCTTCTGGGATTTCCAAGAGGGAGCCTATACCTACTCAACGCCAGGACACCTTTGTTTGGGTGATTCTGGTCATTTGTTATTTTGTAGGCAGTAATTAATTCCCCCCTAAGACGTCGGTAGCTAAGAATGAACAGGCCTAATTTCTTCAGCTTTTCATCATATGGTTTATTCCGGAGACCAACCATTCCTTTAGGTACCCGTCTTTGGAATCTTTTCAAGAGGTTGGCATCTCTTCTAAGAAGTGGGGGTGCAATAATATTATGCACTTCAAGGTGTGGTTAGACTTATGTTTTGTACAACCGTAGAAAGAGCTCAGGAGTGAGTGCACCCAACTGTCTATATGTAAAGTGGTATGACCACAAATGCCCTCGCTACGTCCCTCGTATAATTTACGCTTGTGTCCATTTTTTTCCGTTAGAACTAGACCTAAGTCACGTTCCGACGTTGTGCAGGATAAGCTTCCATTGCACAGGGTGTAACTTGCCTTCTGCAGTCTACAGGTGCGTAATTTCACTAATTTGCACTTTTTTAGGTTGAAAGTCATGCCATTGGCCACCACCCAGTCTTCCAGAAGGTTTAGATCCACCCGCAGCCTATCTGGGTCTTCTGGACACTTTATCGCCCTCCATATGTTTGCGTCGTCACCGTACAGAAGAGTTGGGCAGCTTAGACGGCATGGTAGATCAGTGATAAAAATCAAAAACATCAGTGGTCCTAGAATAGAACCTCACGAAACTCCTGATGATGAGCCGTACCAAAATGTTTTAAATACTCGCCAGAGTAGATAGTACTATTAGATTATGTCGTTTGAAATCAAGTGTTCTAACTTTTTACACACTCTCATTTTACCCTTATCTCTTTTTTTACTTCCGGTGGTATGTTTTACAGACTGAAGCCATTAAACCATCCAGTTTAGCAATTGATCTACCCTCTAAGAAAATGATTCAATTTCTACATAAACATTATCATTTAATTAATCCAATTTATTCACCAAATAATTTTGTAATATATTCCGAATTTTTCAATGAAATTTTACGTGATTCAATCAATACAAGAAAACAATCAGCCAGTGTAAATTCTAAGCTGACACCAATTCGAATCTGGGATAGTAAAAATACACTAAGTAGCAATAATAGTAGTAATCATAATAACAAGTCAGATGCTTCTTTAAATGACACCATTTTAAATTGTCATCGTCCTTCATCTAGTAAAACAAATCGCCGCGCGGACAGTTCAATGTCTATTGAACAAACACAATTGAATAGTAAGATAGACAACAACGATAACAATAATGATGATTATGCACAGAGTATAAAATTAAACAATCGACAAGTATATCAACCGCATACTAAGATAAGTGAAATGCCAACTCAATTAACCATTATACGATCATCAAATTGTTCAAATGATGAGAAGGATTGTAATCGATCTTTCAAACAAATTGAACGTATTCAATTAAGTGAAGTGGATGACAGAAGAAAATGTATTATTCAAAATGACATTGAAAAGACTAACAGATGTGATGTACAACAAAAAGTTATTGAGAAAAATGTAAATAAGTAAGTACTCTTTTTCTGTACAACTCAGTTATTCATTTGAGATCAAATTCACAATAGACAGTTGAATTTGTGACTAGCAAAGTGAGAATTTGGTTTGGTAACAGTTCGTCCTTGTTTGAAACTTCTCATCAGTACGCTCCTATGACTCCACTGCACTTGAGTTCGAATCCAAGACCTTCAGATTCCAGGCTGAGATCGTATGCTATTCAGCCACTTGGACCAAATCCAAATGGCCCATTATTTCTAACTTCCATCAATTTGTGACCAGTCGTTCAAATATCTGCAACGGAAAAATTGAAAATTAATGTGGCACCGAGTAGTGACTGACTACAAGATTAGGCTACTTGAAGTTGTAGTGAGAATTCATGACTATCGGGATCCACTAAACTGTGTATGTATGTGGAGTTAGACACTCGCCGATGACGTTGGTCAGCAGAAATTAGAATTTATGCGCTATTAGATTCCGTCCCAGTGGGTGAACTTACCTTGTAACCTGAAGATTCTGGATTCGTGCGTGCTACTGAAGAGCCGTAGAGAAAGACAAAACGGTTGTGCAGAACTTCCTGGTCTCCCGGGGTTTCTGTAACGGTATTCAGTTCTTAATTGCTTCTTTTTTTGATTACAGCTTGATTCCATACCGTAATTTTTGATACAGATGTGGAATTTTCAGCATGTGATATCGGTAGCCCAAATTTTGCAAGTCGACCATTGATATCAGGTGTGCGTCAGCAGGGAATCGAAATCCGGATCATGTGCATGGTCAGCGAGAGTCATAACCGCTGTGCCACCGGCGGACAGTTAATCAAGTCCGTGTGAACCATATATTGGGATATTGGAAAGTTGACACCCGTAAAACTTCAAGTGTAATATATATTCGCTGTTTGAACACTTTGACTGTATATTCTTCCTTTCTGTATATTCTTTTTTATTTCAAGTTGAGTTTACATTATATTCGATTACAGGCCTTTGATTTGCTGAAAATTTCAAATCTTTCCTATCAACCAATTATCTATAAACCTACTTCTAGCGTTTTGTTTCTCCACAACACTACCCGAACTATATTTTCGCCTTTGTATGCCTATCCTATGGAGCCATTTGGGGGTGATGCAGCGTTAGAATGCTTGCCAACCACACGTATCCTCCGGGGTTCGATCTCCAGTCGACGTCTTCCTGAAGCTGACTTAGTAATAAGTCCGCTAAGAAGGGAGGGTTCAGTGTGAGACCAGTTAGGCTGTCCTGTAAAGATAAAACCATTGCTACATGAACTTAGGGCTCCACTTGGAAGGCAAAAGAATAAAATAAAATATAGCAAAAAATATCCATTCAAACATCTATAAAACACAAAATAATTAAGCAATGAATATCCTTTTCGATGAATTGCTCTTCTGGATCTACAATTATAAATAAATAAATAAATTTATTCTCATGATACAGTACATGAGGGACGCCAGTTTACAGGCATCATCAAATTGTTACAGAAGTAGGACCATATTATTCAGTCACATTTTACAATCGATGACAAAATATGTTTAACATGTACGCTGGAGATTATACATACACTTGATAAATGTTCACTTTTCACTTATGTACAATCATTTCTGTGCATAGTTGGAAAAATCTGCTAGATTGTCAGTGAGTGCAACACATCTGGAAATACAGAAGTATTGTCTTCGCATTAACAAAAAGCCAGGTCTTTGGTGGATGGGTTATAAGTGCCTGGGAAAAAAAATAAAGCTTGAAGTCAATTTTCATACTTATTTTTGGGTGCAGAATCCTTGAATTATCTGTCTGTCTCTGTCTGGATTCAACATAGAACTTGGCACCGAAGTGCAGCAGTTCGAGTTGCCACGTTCCAAATAGCACACAGAGGTAGACAAGAAGATGAGTGAAGAGAATCAATAGAGTTTGACAAGTATAAGAGTGAAACAGAATGGGTAATGGTAGAAAGGAATATGAAAGATTACAGAGATTGAATACATCTGCGCCATTGACAACGATTTTGAGCCATGTCACCTATTGTCTCCAGCCATTGATTCCTAGAGTCCCGAGGGCCCCAACCCGGGAGTCTGCATCTCCCTACCTGACTCAGTTTAACTGTCAAGGATTTCATGGATTGATGCCATGTTTTTGTTTGGCCACCACTGGCTCTTTTCCAACCTGAACCTATATCAGCTAACAATGCCCGTCGGGGGAGGCGGTGGTTAGGCATGCGCAGCACGTGACCTAGCCATCTTAGTCTATGTAACTTTATAACCTCGTCGATTGATTTTCCCTCTTTGCCCAACACTCTACGCCTAACGTCAACATTACTTATCTTGTGAAACCACCTAACGTGAGACAGAGATCGCAGACATCTATGATCGAAAGCAGTCAACCTTTTCATGTCTTCAACGCGTATTGGCCATGTTTCAGAGCCATAGAGAAGGACGGAGCGAACTGATGAGCAGTACACACGTCCCTTGGTTGATAACCGGATGTCACGCCTACGCCAGAGATGGTGTAAGTCAGCGAAAGCAGCTCGAGCTTTTCGGATCCGTGCTGAGATTTCATCGCCAATCAGTCCGTTGGTGCTAATACAACTTCCCAAGTAGGTGAAGTGGTCAACATGTTCTATCACTTCACTCCCTATCACTAAGTTAGGGGTTGACGTCGTCCAGTCCTGTAGCAGCATCTTACATTTTGCAGGGGCGAATCGCATGCCAAACATACGAAGATTGCTGCTCAAGGTGTTCAGAAGACTCTGCATTTTGTCAGCATCCTCCCCTAACAGGACTATGTCATCTGCATATTCTAAGTCCATTAGATTATTCCCTGGTAACAAGTCGATTCCTAAGTCACTACGTTCAGTTAAGGATACTTCCATTAGCATATCTATGATGAAGTTAAACAGAAATGGGGAAAGTGGACATCCCTGTCGGACACCACTGGTTGTTACCAATTCAGATGACAATTCCCCATAAGCCCTTACACGACTACGTGAGTTTGAATAGAGTGCCTTGATTAGTGCAATGTACTTTCTTGGCACTCCCTTCACAGTCAGACATTGCCATAGTACTTTTCGGTCCACGGAGTCGAAGGCCGCCTTCAAGTCAAGAAATATGACAATTGTTGGACGCCGAAAAGTGTGTCTATGTTCTAGAATCTGTCGAAGAGTGAAGATATGATCTATGCACCCTCTACCTGGTCTAAAGCCTGCTTGATTTTCCCTTGTCTGTTCCTCCCGAGTTCTGCTTAGTCTATGCATGATTACTGAGCCTAGGATTTTAGAGACTATGTTCGTTAGGCTGATCCCCCTATGATTATCACACGAGGACTTGTTTCCCTTCTTGAATATCGGTATAATGAGTGACTTACCCCAGTCTGATGGTACTGTCTCTGATTCCCAGACTTTGCCTAGTACCTCAGTTAATCTACAAACTAGTATGTCACCCCCATATTTAAACACCTCCGGAATAATTCCGTCGGGTCCTGCCGCTTTGCCTCGTTTCAAATTACTGATAGCTTTTGTAACCTCACCTACAGACGGCGGACCAGTGTCTATATCCCATTCGGGTACGTGGTGGATGGCGGGGAGGTTCAGTGTGGCTGTAGGCAAGTTAAATTGTTCCTCAAAGTGTTCTTTCCAGCGTTCAAGGCGTCTATCCTGAGAGCTAATTAAGGAGCCATTTTTCTCAGAAATAGTCTCACTTATGAATTGCCTTTCCCGCCCGATTCTGTGATGAGTCTAAAGAGTTGCCTAGTGTTGCCTATCGCCAATGCTTTTTCCATCTCTTTCGCCTTTGTCACCCACCACTGTTCACGGTCCTTGCGGAGACTTTTAGTAAGTTTCCTTTTGTGCAGCTTTCGCTCCTCATTGAATTCGGAGCTCGCCGGAATAAGTCTTCTAGCATCTATCAGTTCGGATGAGGCAGTCGAAATCCAGTGGTTTTTACTCACCTTTGGATTTGTCTTATTCACAGCTTTTACACCTTGAATTATAGTTCACTGCTGTGTTATTTTGAATCAGTGATATGTTTATGTCATTTGATCTGCAGTGTCATTGTTGGGAGTAAAATACATAAGCTTTAGACTTATTAATTAATGGATTTCTACTGCTTGCGGGTATTTACTTTTCGTGAGGAAGGTTTTTGTTTATATACATACAATATTCTAGATTAGTAATTAACAACAATATTAGTGTTTATTTTTAAATAATATCGATTTGTTAAGTAAGATCAGAATGAAATTACAGTTCATTAAAGATGCTTAAATTATAATAATAACAAAGATATAGTAGCAAATAGAATATCAACTAAAATTAGGGAAATTCCACAAAAATTCAAGATCATTCAAACCTAGATGGCCAACGGGGTAAGGATAATGTCTGAACTAACTTCTTTTGGATGCACTGATTAGGCTTCTTTATATGGACCCCAACATCCTCAGCAGTATTTAGTAGTCGAACTCTTAAGGCGAAATTGAGATTCGTATGTATGCGGTAAATGACCCTGAAAGCCACCTGGTTAACATCAATCTTGTGTTCTGTATCCACAAGATGAGATAGAATAGCCCTCCGAGTAGATTTTGTCTGTCCTTTGCTTCACCACTTTGCAGGGTGATGTTCGGAAATTTGACGGGAAACACGCCTAATTGTACGGCCTTTGCAACTAACTGGCTCACTCCACAGGAGCACTTGAATTGATACATACACATGGAAAAGGCGAAATTAGGCAGTTTAAATTCTACTCCCGAATGCAAGAGAGGAGTGGTTTTGAAGATACAGCGTAATTCGTCAGCAAGGGATGCTCTTCGCTTTAACGCATTTCTAAGGCGTTGTGCTAGTATCTCGATGATGTTGTCCCCAAGGAACTGCATTTGTTAGAATAAGGCCCTTTTTGGAACTGTTGGTACCTTCGGCTGCCTTGATTTTAGATTCATATTCTTATCAATAAACTTTTCTGGATAACCATTTTCACTCAGCAACTGTTTAATATTATTAAGTTCCTCATCAAGACATTCAT